CCCCCCCCCCTCTCCCTCTTCAAAGGCCCTTAGAGGAAGCATGCTAGCGGCCGGTTCGAGGGTAAAAAACTGCAGCAGAATCATACAGGACGAGAGAGAAGCATGCACCAAAACATCAGATTACAGGTAATATGCCTGAACATGAGTCCTTGTGGTAACTCATGTAACTATAAATCATATAACTCATGAACTGATAAATATTACACTAACATTAGTCAAATGTCTTCGTTCGGAAGATGCTGAACTCGAAAAGCGCTTTGTCAATGGTGGTAGCCCATCAGAGCGACTAGAATCAGGCTTTTGTGATTGACCATCTGATAAAACCGATAAACAACTAACCACATTACTTTCCGGTGAAGCTGCAACAGATAGCAGTCGTTTGAAGTAACCGATCATCGAAAAGCAAAGGTAATTTTAAAAGATTAAGATTTTAAAAGATTAAGATAATACACCTTTCTCTTGCTTTTCCTCTCCTTTGCCCTCTCCTTTCATCCCAGTCCTGCTCCACCAACCCATCATCTGCTCTCCTTTCCTTCTGTTTCTTTCTTTCGTCTTATTTGTTCTTTTTGCTTTTCTTTTAAGTATTGTAACCGTTATAATGACGATGTCCTGTCGAGGTGTTGAGTTAAGGCGTACATGACTTAATGGACTGAAATGTCTTATCTCATTCTTATCTCCTTATCCCGTTTTTCACTGTTACTTCCCCAATTTCCACCAATTAAGCTTGCAGGATCGGCCTAGTTGCTACATTTTACTTACACAAATTGTTGTTGCCGGGATGCACTCGCATGCTTAACGCAGGTGTATCTCATTCCCTCCTGTCCTAAGTCGCATTTCTTTGGTCACTGCCGGCTATCTCCGAATCATTAGCTTGTGCCGGCTACCTCCAAATTGTTAAAAGAAAGCTGAAATAATCATTAAATGAAATAATCATTAGCTTTCTTCTAAACGACCTTCGAAATACGGAAATATAGCGTCACATAATATATCAAATAACGATTCATGGTTTTCTTGTTAGAAATGGCGTAGAGAACAATTGCGCCAATATGATTCAATACCCCAGTCCCTGGTTCAAACGTTGGACTTCCTACCCATTAAAGTTTTGCAATCTTAGTAATCTTCACCCCCTGGAGTATAAAAGCACTCCTCCTCATTCTCGGGATTCCAGAACTATTTCCAGAGCTACTCGAGAAAGCTACTCCCTGTCGACTTATCCCTGTTATGGGGAGGTTTGGCCATTTGTATTGTCTTTTCTTATCTTTTTGTAGTGTCTTTTCTTATTCTACGTTGTATTACTTCAGATAATTCATGTACTTATAAATATATATATATATATATATATATAACTAGGTGTTTCCACACACACACACACACACACACAAACACACACAGGGCACGCCATTAGTCTGGGTAATACCGAAATGGTCGCGATACCGAAATCCATACCAGCGGCTGTTCCGCGTGCTTTTTGAAGTTCAAAACAACATACGCTGGCCTTTTAAGGTATGTATTGAATTATTTTTGGAATTGTTAAACAGGTTGAGCGAAAGGAACGTAACTAACTTACACGGGGCCGTCAGTGCATGATGTCGGGCATCATTCGTGCAGTCCTTTTTCCGCAGGGCACAAAATCCAGAAAATGTATGAACACAGAAGATCAATACGATAAGGAAAACCAAAGAAAATACAACTGCAGCAGCCGGTGAGAGTGGACGGATTCTGCCATTTTCTACAAAAATTCCATCAACCGAAAATCCGCCCAAAATCATTCGATGTTTTGTCTGAAATATAATGATGCCGCCATAAATCTGAGGGATCAATTCTTTTTTTTAACAAAAGAAGTCAACACAACGGTTGACCTCCAAAAAAATTGAAAACTAATCCATTTTTCGATTGGAAGCGGTCAAAAAATGGATAATCCCCTGCATGAGATGATGCTTTCTAAGATCAACTTACATTTGCCGCTTCGCTTAGCTCTTCTGCGGGTGTTAGTTTTTATAGAAATCCGGCAAACAGTAGCTGAGGAATCACAGTATGTAACATCTGGCATTTCCGTTCGAAAAGTTGAAGGT